GGAGTAGGGCTCTCGCGTGTTCGGCTCGTTTACACCCCTACCTGACATGCATGTCCCAAAACATGAAGAGTTGAATAAATTTAATTATATATACAATATGGGTTAATATAAGTTGGGGCATTCACATGCATACTACCCGATTCCTATATAATTATGTATAAAACATCTAATTTTTTTTCTTTTACTCATATCACATCAAAAAAATTTTATCATGCGGTAAGAGTTTTGATGCATTTCTTATGGGGAATTTTTAAATTCAAGTTTAACATTATCCATGGTTTTGATTTCAGCAAGTTTGTAATTAAAAACTAATCATCTTGAGAAGACGAAGCCAATGATATCATAGCTGGGTCAATTATGGTCCAATCAAGCTCTCATTAAGCCATTAAAGTACATTTGGAGGCTTTGGATCACCAACTGAATGGTCAAACGAACAACGAATTAAACATATTTATAGTCAAATTGAGTGTCTCAACGAGAGGAATCCAACGAGCGTAAGATTATTCAGTTCTGAGGTAATTAAGACCCTTAAATCATTAAATAATTATTAATGATAAGGACAAATCAATATGGATCATCCGATTAAGTAGTTAGGAAAGTTACCAACCAAACGACAAAAATGTCACTCCCCAAAAGTGTACATAAATAGACTTCCTCTATTTACTTGAGAAATAGAAGAAAGAGGAGAAATTCTTTGCTTATTATGGTGAAAAGATTCGACTATAACCACCAACTTTTGTAGTTATAAACCATCTTTGAACACCAACCGTCTGCCACCACAAGCCATCACCACCTGTCGTCGTTGACCACAGGCCGCCATAAATCCCTGTTTGCAATCATTGTATTACAAATATGGTTGTTATGTATAACATCTGCATTGAATTCATGATGAATAACCACCAGCATTTACAATCATTGATCACTGTCTATCACCTCCTGTAGGCAACCTGTAGCCACCATTAGTCAGTACCACCTGTCGTTGTCGACCATGTTCCTTCGATGACCTCTGCTTGCAACCATTATAGTCTAAATACAACATTAATGGGTAAATAATACAATTTTAGCAAGTAACTATGACATTTGCGACCAATTAATAGTGTTACAATTTTCAACTATGATATCTATGGTCGACTACACTTGCAGCCACTAATTATGACTTTTTTGGCCAACTAATTTTAATGCAACTTCCAACTGCAGCCTCAGTGGTCGGTTATCACTATTACAGCCTTTGTGGTTAATTACTAATACTGTCACAGTATCCAACTATGGATTCTGTGACCAACTGCTGCTCTTGCAGCCACTGAATACTGCATTTGTTGCTAACTATTACATTAGAACTTTCAATTATGACATCTATGGCCAACTTCCACCATTCTAGTTACCAACTATAACTTTTATGGTTAATTACTGATGTCACATTTTTCAACTACAGCCTATGTGACCAACTGTTGTTATTGTAGCCACCGACAACAAACTTCATGCTCAACTACTACCTTTGTAGCAACCAACTACAACATTTATGACCAACTAGTACTGATACAACTTCCAACTATGACATGTATGACTAACTACTACTATTATAGCAATCACTTAAGCATTTATGGCCAACTCTCACTATTATAGCCAATAAATATATGTATAATAGATCAATTATGGCTATTATAACTGCATTAAAGTGTACCTATGTACTTATAAATGCATATTTGATTACTTTAACTATGCCAAGCTTTATGGTTTCGTCCCTTTTTAGAGTTTTTTAACATAAAAATATTTGTATCATCTCCTACTACTTTTCATTTATTTATGAGTTTGTTGAATCTTTGTAAAATGCTAAGACGGTCAATTATCACTCTATAGCTGGAAATCTTTCGACCCGCCACAGTTTGGTGTCGTCAGTGGGAAATAAAGCTCTGTGGTTATAAGGGCACAATCTCGTAGTTCAGGATATTGGGCTTCTACTTTATTTCTCAATGATATACATCGCTGACCTGGTGAAGGAAATTGGTGAAGGAAATTGTTTTGCACCTGTTGAAGATCTTGTGCCATTTTAGGATTGATTATATCTCGCATGGTTTAGTAGATGATGTTAAACCAGGTACTACTTT